TCAGTCAATTCAAATCAAAATTATAGATTCAAGAGAAATGAAAATGATGAAATCAAAGCATGAGAAAGAAGTAAATTAAAGGATGATGATATCTCGAGATGGTACTGCTGAATGCCTTTAGTCCACTTGACCTTAGAAGTTTTGGAATATATACTTTGAATTGGATGTAGGCATTTCTTCCTGTTCTACTGACATAACTGCTTTGACAGATGCATGTGAATTTGTGTACACAGCTGGTGGTAACATGAAAGGAGTATCTGTTAACAATTGATTGTGTTGAAGAATACGTGATTTTGGAGAAAGCAAAGAATTTAGCTGCAGGATATGTTTTTATCAATGCAGTATTTAATTTTAGGTTGATTATCCCTATAACATCATCACCTTTAGATTTGAATTGAATAAAAATAGCCCCTTTGTTTAGCGTAGTTTCCTTGGGTTTTTATCTTCACTCTTACTGGATTTCTCAGTAAATTCCGATGAATATCCGTTGTACCTCAATCATTAGTGCCTATTCTAGTGTTTTGGCGGTAAATATTCTTTATGTACAGTGAGATAGTATCTTAACCAATGCCCATTTATAACTAAACAGACAACGGCTATTAAAAATTCAGATAAATTCTATTCCATGTATCTTTTCTATAAACTGGAAGGTCAAGAAAGTAGAACTTGTTTTCGTTTTCATATTCCATAGTAAACTGACCATCTTAATGAGTTTTTTTAAGAAATCTTAGTAGATTCGTTGCATGCAAATTGAAAAGAGTGTTTGGATATATAAGTGGTTAAACAATGATAAATTGGTTCTGACTTTTTTTGCTAGCCAGTGTACAAATTTGTAGTGAGGTGAATTGACCATTGACCGCAAAACACATGTTTATGTATCTTTGCTAAACGATACATGTGTGGCAAAGTAAATATCTATCTATTCAACAATTATTTTAAAATATTTTCATATACTCATAAGTTATTTTATTTTTGTTTGTTCACGATATGATATTATTTTTGTTTTTATCGTTCTAGACATGTTTAGTCTATTCAACTAAATGACGTAAAATCGATTAAAATTATATCACTTTGGATGTTGAATTTTATTGACATTAAAAAAAAACAGATCAAAGTTAAATAATCACCAAAAAACTTAGAAGTACTGGAAAACTGGTTCATTCTTGTATGGAATTCCTCAACAGAGTGGATTTACTACCATACCACTGGAGATAAAAACCAGGAACTTCATTCTCACGCTCAAACGCTTAAACACTAAACCAATGAGTTGATATTCACTGTCGTACAGTTCTAACTTTAATCAGCTTGTTATATTGTGTGAACATCTTCCTTCCATGGAACCAAAAATTGTGGATTCGATCCCTGATATGTTATTGTGAATGCTGTATTTATGAGACCCAGAAAAATAAGTCGTACAAATAAATTGAGAAAGGCCTGTTATACGTGAAATATCTAGCCTTTCCAGTTTATTTAGTGAATAGATGCTGCATATCAAAGTATAATTTTCATTGAGTATTTCATTGCAAACCCTAAATCCTAATTAATTTTTTTTGGGTACGATACAGTAGTGAGTTCATGAAAGACATATGTAGTTAGCTTTAAATTATAAAAATAAAGTCGCAATCGAAAATTTCACTCTTATATATGCATCAATGAGACACTCTCAGTAAAAGGAAAAAGGGTTTGAAAATGATAGATATCAAAATTTAATTGAACACTAAGAGAATGATTATCCTTAGACAAAGTTTGATATTAAGTCAAGGGTTAAGAAAAACTAATAAGTTACGAAAATAATTCAGAGATAAAAGTGAAAAGAGTAATTGTCTGTTTGATGATGACGAGTAATTAATAATTGTGAAAATTTACATGAGGGATTATAACCATAGTATGATGAGGAACTGGATATACTTCTGTAGTGAACGAGAACACAGGTGGGGAAATTGGATTGTATTTAACAAAAATTACAGAGTGACTCAGTAAAATTGGAAAACCATATCGTAAATTGTTCATTTGCAAAATATCAGTCCATCATATCGAACTGGACTGTTCCTGTTGCAAAACATCAATCCATTGTCACTATTCATGCGTTTCATACAAATTTTGATTGTGTTCTAACTTTTCCTTTCTTGATCTTCCCCCATCTTCTGCTGCCAGACATTACGTTGACACTCACGTCATATACTACTTATAAGTAGCTCACACCACACTACTTCTGTATTTAAATCTCAAGCTTCAGTAATCCTTTCAATCTTCTTATTTTGATTGCTTGCTTTTGAAATAACATTTTATAAAGATAGCCTAACTAGATTTAGACTATTAAATTGACGTATGTTTTCTATCCGATAGTTAGACAGGGTAATGATCAGAGATATGCATCGAAAGAGATTGCTTTTTAGAGCCATTATCGTTGGTTATACAGGAGAAAATAAACCTAAAATATGAGCTTTTCTTTAACCTATTCTCAAATCATAGGCTTGTTAGAGAAGATAATGAGAAGTTTGTAAGAATTGAGTAGATATTTTTAAAAATTTCAAGTACTTGATTTTTGAGTCACAGTTGTAATATCTCCTCTAAACTTATTGTTATTATGGTTGTTCTCAGAATAGACTGCAGCAGAGATATCTAAGATCGTTCTATTTGCCAGAACTTCATTAACAATACAAATTTTAGCAATTCACGTACATAAACCTGATCTTTGTTTACAACATATACTGTCTCTTATCTTACCATAAATTTAACTTTCTTTTATAACCTCTTAACTAAATAATAACTATATTGGGTGTTCAAGATTTCTTCGAAAGTTATTTGGGTTTTATCAATCATAAATCTTAAACTATTTTTTCCGCTGAGAATACTTGTTCCTTATGGTGTCAATTTTCCACAGTTTGTCAGTAGATGACACTTATTTGAATCCTTAATTTAGTGTATTGCTTACAATGATAACAGTTTACTTTACATTAAAATAAAAAGGATTTCATTTGGATTTCATAAAATTTAAAAAAACTACATTCATAATATTTTAATGATATGATAAGAAACTTTAAAAATAAATTTATGAGTTAAAGTGATTTATCACTGTCCCTAAACAATCGGGGTACAACTGAGGTTAATTATCTTGAACCATAAAATATTAGACAGAATTCAACATGTTTTAATATTAGATGATTAGAAGGAAACTCTAAAATTAGATTACGTGTCGTTCAGCACTTGTCATTTAGGTCTATGTTACGCCTACACGTAAACACGTCATTTTGATAGATGCTTGAACTAATACGAGTTTACCTAGTCCGAAAACGAAAGCAAGGATCGAGGATCCGGTGACACGACATGCTACTCAGATCTGATTATCCCAACCCTCATATTTAGTTAAAATAAGAAGATGTGATATGAAGTAGAACTTGTATTCTTCTACAAGCATCCAGAAAGTACGAGGTCCGAATCCAGAAGAGAATCAGGATCCCAGATTAGGGATTCCTGACCGGGTCCTTGTCCTGGTTCTGATCATAAAACGTTACAGATAATACGTATTTATACATTTAGGTCGAATAGGAAACAGCATCGAAGTCTGTGACATTGACAGTTAAGCTGACTAATAGGTAGCGACATTTGAAGTGACATTGATAGTCAGGACAACCAATAAGAACCATCATTGGAGCACGTGACATTGATATCTAGGGCGACCATAAAATTGACCAGTAAGAATTAACCAATAGGAACTGACCAATAATTCTCTTAGGATATTGGATGAATATCCTAACAGTCTATTTGGGTGTCTGCTGAGTAATCAAGAGGGTAAGCTTTCTCACGCGAGATCGAAGGTCCTGAGTTCAATACGCGCTACCGGATCATGGATGCGCTCTGCTGATGAGTCCCATACTAGGATGAAAAATCCATCCAGTATTTCCAGGTTTTCAATGGTGGTCTAGCATTGATGATTTTATTATTTTAATGAAATTCAACACTCTCTCCAACCATATACTAACAAGCTCTACATATATTCCTGAGAAAACTGGCTCTGGATAATATGGGTTGGAATCTCATATAGAGCTTCAGTTTCTTGAAGAGTACTAGTACTCTTTACTAGAAAACTCCAACTAGAATAAATTTTAGGCTCAGATTCTCTTGTAGACCTTTTTAACAGTATAGCATACCTCATATAATATTGATTCACATACATTAATGACCGTATGTCATTTCAATTAATAAAATTCAATCACTGATACTAATAATTACAGAACACAATATTAAATCCTACTCAATGATCACTTAATCTAAAAAAATCCATCTCAATTATTTGTATTGATCAGTTGCAACGGATTTCAAAGTAATTAAATTGTAACAGACTTTAAATTTCAGAATTACTCGTATTCAAATTTAAAAGTTTATGAGGCAATCTTATTGACTGTGCTTAACATAATCCACAGTGCGTAGTGTCTATAATGATTTTTTGAAGAGAACAGCTTAATTGTTTCAGTAGACAAAGGGAATTGACTATGATTTATAAACGAACCAATGAGGAGGTTGTTTTGGATTTCTGTGTGAAATTCATTTATCCAAATGCCTAGAGAGCATTTCAATATTAGAGCTAATACCATTTGATGATAAAAACCCTTACTACTGAAATCATGAATTAATCATTGTTAGACTAGCAAGAGTCATGGATACGCACTGCTACTGATAAGTCCAATACCAGGACAAAACGAACATCCAATGCTTCCAAGTTTCTAATGCTGATCTAACAATGATTTATTCATGATTTCAGCAATAGAATCTCTCAAACTTCGTTCGTAAATGTATAGTCTCACTATTCGAGTAAATACATCATAAAATTTATAGAATGAACTTTTTCAAAGATTCTACTTCACAGATTTATTGAACAGACTACATATATATATAAATATCATTAATCTAATTTATACTATGGAAAAGTTAATCATCAATTTCTCAGATATAGTAATAAAAATGCGAAAAATAATCAATAAATATCTTCTCGAACTTACATCAACCATGGACAAATCTTCACCAATACTTAATGCATATTTAAATAAATCCCGTCTTGAAATGATTCCATCACGATTTTTATCAATGATTGAAAATTGTTCAAGATATTCCATAATTTCAAATAATAATATTTTTTTAAAAAAAAAATCACCAAATTGTATTCAAAAAAATGTTAATTACAATAGGAGAAGACTTTCTTAGTTGAGTCTCATCATATTATAGTTTCACATTCACTATAATCGGTAATATATTATTTATAATAAATAAATTAAATTAAAAATATTTTTGTCACATTGTGTGTGTAGGTTTGATGAAAATGATTGAAGCAATGATGTGATTTATTGATTTATCCAACCAGTGATTTTACAACAACATACATGTCTGTATATACATATATATATATATATATATATATATATATATATATATATATATATATATATTTACATAGTTAATTTGTACGTATAGAGGTAGATAGGTAGGCTGGTAGGTAGTTCATTGTGCTCAAGAATAAATTATAAATGGATAGTAATAACGAATAAAAAAGAAGTAATCAAAGCTTTCTTTTTGACTATTTTACTTTTTTATGTGAAGTATTGATGTGTGTCTTTGTGTGTGTATGTGTGTGCGTGTTAGCAATAGATGTAAAAGCTTGCTGTAAATGTTAACTTACATGAAAGACATAACGAACGAATTATTGAATAATGAATAAATTAATTAGGTCAGACATTCCAAACTATAATAGGTCAGTAAGAAAATATTTATAAGATCATACTAACAACATAGTTTTGTAAAAGAATAAATTCAAGAAACTATCAATAAAGTTGTTAAGGGGAAAGAAATATTTTATAGGGGTTGTGAAGATTGTTAAGTTACACATCTTGAAATGTTAGACCACTATTAGAAACCTCGAAGCACTGGATGGCCGTTTCGTCCTGGTATGAGATTTATCAGTAGTGCGCATCCACGAGTTCTCCGAGTTCTAGTGGGAAGTCGTGACCAATGAAGTTCAACCTGTTCGGGTGTAGACAGTGTATCAGGTTGCGCAACTCCGTGAATCGATCAAGTTAGATATTAACACCAATAAATACCGGCTCAGTGGTCCAGATGCTAGGCGTTCGCACACAAGACTGAAGGTACAAGAGTCGTGGATGTGCACTGCTGATGAGTCCCATACTTGGACGAAACGGCCTCCCAGTGCTTCCAGGTTTCTAATGGTGGTCTAATATTGATCGATTCATAGTTTCAGAATGAATGATTATTAGTAATTTTGAAGTAGTGATTTGAATTGGATGACAAGAAGAATTTCCGAAATCACTAAGTTAAATCAATTATTATATTTCGAATGACTGAAGACAAATAAATCCAAGTCAGATTAGTGTTTACTGGTGTTGTAAACATTTGATAAATCCGTTAGGAGAATGCAACATGTACACGGAACAGCTGTATTTAAGAGAACTTAATTAAGAAGTGAGACATTTTGTTTTAGTTTAAGAGATGGAGATTGTTAAAATTTGTAATTTTATATTATGACCATTAAAAACTAGGAAGCGCTGTTTCGTTTATTAGGTTTCAGTCTAGTATGGGACTCTCCAATAATGTTCATCCATGATTCTATCCGGGATCGAACCCTTAAACACTAAGGTTTGTGATGAATGCATAGCTTTCCGACTCCTGAGGTGATATCTAGTAGCTGGTATTTACATAAAACTATTATCCAACTGCATGAATCTATATGGGTATCCCATGATAATCTGACCAGAAGTTATCGGTCAGATAACATGTGACTAATCGAAGGTCATTTTATAGGACATCTAAACAACCAATCAGGTGTCAATTATGACTGATTCATCAAGCTGACTTCAAATATCACCCCCCCTTCGATAATGTGTTTTGATTGGTGAAATGACCTTTAGATTAGGTAAAATATGATTTTTAACTAGTTTATTTTTGGGAATCATTTTATCATATCACATAATTTGGAAGTGTCGATGTGTTGGGACATTAATTAGCTATATAACACCATGTTGTATTCACTGAAAACAAAATAACTTCACTGTAGTGTACTTTATTGTAGACAAATTTAAGGTCAAGGCATTTAAGACACCAAATGTTTAAACTTCTCTAAAATAAAAATAACATCAATCAGTTTATAAGTAAATATAGACATTCCTGGTTTGTTTAAAAACATAAATACCAAAATAAAAAAGAACAGTAGAATGATAATCATTTCGTGATAATATTTTTATCTGACTGCGGTTTGTAATTCACTTAAAAAGATAAAATATTTTGTTTTTTTGATTGCTAATAACAGAATAAATACGATTTGAAGGTATTTTCCATTCAGAACTTGTTTAGTTTAGATAATAACCATAGGAAAAACAAAAAACACTGAATAGTTAGTTTATTTAACTATCTTATCTTCTTTTTGATGAATCTTTTCAACAGTAAACATTGATGACCATGTCAGACAAAGCTTAGATTCTCAATTCAATAATAATCATATTGTGGTGCGCGTTACTTATAAGTAGTATATGACGTGAGTAAAAACGTAATGTCTGGCAGCAGAAGATGGGGGGAGATCAAGAAAGGAAGAGCGGGAACACAATTGGATTTGTATGAAACGCATGTACAGTGAAATGTTAGACAATGGATTGATGTTTTGCAACAGGAACAGTCCAGTTCGATATGATGGATTGATATTTTACAAATTAACGATTTACGATATGGCTTTCCGATTTTACCAATTAACTCTAGTATAATAGAAATATAAAATTAAAATTTTAAGAATAAAACATAAAACGACGTGTATGCAGTTGATTAATAGTTTGCAATGTACGATTTTGTTTAAATCAATGGGTTGGTTTAAAATATTTGCTGATGAAAAGAATGATACTTGCGAGTTGCTTCATATCATTCTGTACATAATTAGAAACGTATACAGCTGCTGCCGACCGTAGCTACTACCTTGACGTGGTAGTCGAGCTTGCCTATCGTGATGACCCAATCGAGACATATTGGATGGAATATATTTTCCTGTGGGTTCTACTATGCTAGGCAGGTCGATTGGAGAACGATGAGACTCAAAGCAGCTACTCAAGGTCTGAGGACGAAGTCGTACTGCTGACTATAGTAGTCAGTGACAACATTAAGGTTTTTCTCTTGGACAACCAGCATCTGCAGAGATGTTAACTTCTCAAAAGGAATGAAGGAGTGAGAAAAGGTCGACCCTAAAAATGGTATACCTCAAATCGTTCCAAGGATTTCCGTTTCTAGCGTTAGAGCCTTTTGAGGAGTTGAGCTAACAATTCATACACTTCCCATAAAAACGCTATGTGTGACCGGCCTGAAGCAGTTGTCTCTTGAGCTCTGAGGTCACGCTCCAGGTCGCTAAGACCAACACCATCACAACTTCCTTCCCAAGTTCCTCAAGAAACACCTTTCGATGGTGTGGACAGCCGCGAAGTGAAATCCTCCCTCATACCCGTAATAGCACAAGAGAGCAGATCGGCCACAACCAAATCCTTCTTACACCCTCTAACATATCTCTTATCTCCACGACTAACTCTACTCACATTCCTTTATCACTTCCCACCGCTAATGTAAACGATTTGAGTTCCCAAAACGTTATTCCTGGTCTTCTGAAACGGTTTTTAAACTACATGTTGGATACAACAATAGCAAAATGTTTTTTCATTGGACGATAAAGCGATTTGAGATTCTTGGTGTCAGAATTAGTTTCCATTTCAAAATTAACACCATTGAGCGTTGGAGAACTATTTTATTTTAGTTAGGAACTAAACAAGTTTATTGAATAACCATTGCTCCACTCAGTATCGGACCTATCGTACTTCAGATCATTTATCAACCAGCCTATTTCCCTCGACGGACAGACCGAATATCAATGCTTAGCAGATTTGTCAAGCCAATGATTCACGATATTCCTTGTCTACGGAGTCACACAGTTGACAGCTGCTTATCTATTATTTGGATAAGACTTTTCACACTGTTTAGACTCTGGAACATATTTTTACACTCAGTCTAACAGTTACTATTTGTATATATGTTTTACTTTTGTTTCATATATATTCTAATACTAACATGATGTTGTCAGTCTTACTAGAATTGAACATGAAACATCGTTTTATTGAGCTAACCGGGGAATTTGTGATTGGAAAATCAATATTCATGCAGAATATAAATTATGTTAGGCATCTTGAAAAGAATGTGATAAAAGAAGTAGAGATAATTAGTCATCTAAAGTTGAGTGTTAACAATTTTTTTAAAATTCTTCGTCATATCATAAACTGGCCAATCAGATTGCAGTAGAAAAGAAAAAATCAAAATTGAAGATCGATTGGTTATGCCTTGATTATCGGTTAAAAATTTACCTTGATACTGATGATGAGTCATATGAGATGATCATAGGAATTACAGCGAATATGTACAATATAAATATGTAACTAAAGGTAAAATTTCTCACCAGTGCCAAATTACATATGACTATTCTGTTTTACTCTCATATCTGTCATTAAAATCTGTTGCTCAACTCATATTAAAATCAACCTCTACCATATATATATATATAATGTAGAGGCTCATTTCGAAAACTTATTTGATCAATCAGTAAACTTGCATTCAATAAGTGAAGAAAAGAAAAGCTAGTTTAAATACAAACCAGTTGATACAGCGAACTAATATATCACTTCACTCAAAACAAAGTCACGAATTCTATTCGAATATCACATGAAAGCATTATTAAACTACAAACAAAAGAGCGAAGTAATTATATTACAACCGTTCTTAGATGTTGTACTAATGAACACGTACGACTATTTTAATAACATGAAGTTTGTTCTAAACGAACATTTGGGGTTCAAGGTTGATAACTTTAACTACAATTTAACTGACTCAACAGAAAGGCGGATCACAAATGTATTCAGTGACCTATCGAAGAAGGATATTATTAATGACTCTACCTATAGTGATTTAAGACCGCATGAGTAGGGCCAACTAAAGATTTATAGATAAGAAGTCTCGCTTAGAACTATTTTGTTAGCGGTCAGTTCACCTCACTACAAATTTGCACGCTGACTAGCAAAAACAGTCAGAA